AAAGCAATAGATGTAATTTACATTGACTTCTGCAAACCCTTTGACTCAGTGGTACATGACAAACTACTATTAAAATTAAATTCTTATGGCATTTCTGGATCCTGGTAGTGGATTACTGCCTTCCTGTCAAACAGGCAACAAATAGTAAAAATAGAAAACACCCTATCAAACCCTGCACCAGTTATCAGCAGTGTCTCCCAAGGGTGCATTCTAGGACCCACTCTCTTTACACTCTATATAAATGACCTTTGTGATCACCTTATTATCAACTGCATCCTCTTTGCTGATGATGTCAAACTATTCAACACCACAGTCAATTCTACCGTCCTTCAAAAAAACATTGATTATGTGTCCAAATGGTCTAACAGTTGGCAGCTCCAAATCTCGACCAACAAATGCTCTGTCCAACACATTGGCAAAAAAAATAATAATCTATATACCAAATATAAGCTAGGCGGTTATGACCTGGTTGATGACTCTCACTCTGTCAAGGACCTAGGAGTTCTCATATCGAATGACCTAAGTGCCAAAGCTCATTGCAACAGTATTTCCAAAAAGGCTTTAAGAGTTGTAAATTTAATTTTATGAAGCTTCTCCTCTGGTAATACTGATTTGCAAACTAGGGCATTCAAAACTTTGTTAGACCAATACTTGAATTCAGCTCTGCTGTCTGGAATCCACACTATATATCAGACATAAATACAATTGAGCAAGTCCAAAAGTATTTTACCAGAAGAGTATTACATTTCTCTGTGCACAACAGAATACTCTACACCACCAGACTTGAGATTCTATGCTTAGACAACCTTGAACTATACCGGCTAAGATTGGACTTAAGCATAGTACATAAAATCCTATGTTACAATGTTTTACCAGTTAATGAATATTTCAGCTTTAACCTCAACAACACAAGAGCACACAACAGATACAAACTTAATGCAAACCACTCCAAATTTGATTGCAGGAAGTACAATTTCAGCAACAGAGTGGTCAAGGTCTGGAACTCACTACCTGATTCTGTTATCACCTGCTCAAACCCTCACTCTTTTACCCTCAAACTAACCTCTATTGACCTCACCCCATTCCTGAGAGGTCTGTAAGGGGCGTGCATAAGCGCACAATCACGCCTACCATCCCTGTCCTATTATCCCCAATTCCTAGTTCCTATTTCTTATGTTTAAATTTATGTTTATTCTTATTTCTATTGTATTGTAAGCTTTTGACAAAATAAAATAAATAAATAAAATAAAGGTCAGTTAGAGCTAGAAATGGTCTTTAACTGCTATGCCCACATGCTAACTGCTAATGTTAAGCTTAAACATACTATGGTTTGACCTATAAAATCAATAGTCTAAATTTGAAAAAAAAGTAATCTTATATTATACACTGCCCAGAGGCTCACCCACAGGCTGAGATGTATGATTTAGAAATAGGAAATATCAATCAATCAGAAACCTCTTCAGTGTTTCTGTAAGTTTGCTTAAATGAGTGCTGAGATATTTTTGAGGGGGTGGAATGGAATTGTAATACAAGGTACTCTTTGACTTACAACCATAATGGAGGCCAGAATTTCCATCATAATTCATGAAGCACCCACATGATTAGATTTGATTTTACTATTTTTTGTGTGGCAATCATTAAGTAAACACTGTGGAGTGGTGGAGTGGCCTAGAGGTGGAGCTCTTGCCTCACAATCAGGAGGCTGTGAGTTCAATCCTAGACAGAGGCAGATATTTCTCTCTCTGGGCACACTGAGAATATATCTGCTGAACAGAACTCCACATTGGCAACAGGAAGGGCATCCAGCCATTAAAACACTCTGCTAGTTACATTCAGTTGCCCAGACTCCACCTCGCAAGGGATTATGGGGTTGTTAAATGTAGTTGATAATTAAATAAACACTGTGATCATTAAGTGAATGTGGTAGTTGTTAAGCAATGCCATGGATTGTGATGACCCAGAGTGTAACACAAACATAACAAAATCCAAAAATGTAAATAAATGTCCTTTATTGCCTCCAACTTGGCCCCATTGTTCAATAATTTTCAGTTGGAGATAAAGTGTACTCAAAAATAGTCTTCAAAAGAAAGCTATACAGTCTGAATTTAATGAGCAGATAGAGGTGAAATAAAAAACCTAACTACAATGATGAAATGTCCACAATGGAACAGGAGAAGTATTTACCAAATTCAAGGAGATAACAAGGCACAGTCTGTTGGAAGGACGCCAAGCAAGATAACTTCAGACCAAAATAAAACATGTTTGCTTCTGGCAACCTGTGTTTTAACCATCTCTCTTACATACTTGTCTCTTCAGCTGTAACCAATGAGGAGGATCATTGATGCTTCCTCTCTCACAAGCCAAGTTGTTGCCTTCTTCATTTCCCCCTGTGTGTCCTAGGATGGAGAGGGGATGGGCCTGGTTCTTCCTCTGACTGCCCAGCTGGTCTCAGCCCTTCCCCAGCCAACTCCACAGCCTCTGGAGCCATACCTCCACTCCCTGTTGGCTGTTCCTCCTCTCCCTCAGAGTCCAACTCTACCAAGGGCATGACATGGATCTTAAGCAAATCAATGCATTTCTATGGATTTATTTTTTACCAGAAACTATTCAAAAAGGTTGGAATCTGGCAAAAAATAAATGTATATTGAGATCACATGATTGCAGAAGACTGCAATCAACCATAAAGGTGAACCAGTTGCCAAGCACTCCAGATCTAGTTATGTGACCATGGGGATATTTGCAGCTGTCGTAACACTGGAATTGGGTTGTAAGTAGTTCTGGAGGATTTGTCATAATTTTGAATGGTTGCTAAATGACCAATCATAAGTCAAGGACTATGTGAAAGTGACAAAATTTTTCAGATTTGTTTTATGATGAGCTGGAATGTTCTTCATTTGTTCTTTTCCATTTTTCTTTCAGTGGTGCTTTTTTATTATCTCTGTAGAGCCTTAGGGACTCTTCTGGCTGTCAAAAATTAAAATCTATCACTATTTATAGCTTTGGAAAGAGAGGGAAGGAAGGAGGATCTGCCCAGCATACTAATATAATGTCAATGTTCATTTAAGCCTTTTAAAACTCATTCTCCAAAATCAAATTTAGGTGCATAAATTAATTTTGTATTTATATGAAGATTGACTTCTACATCACCATGACCTCTTATCCTGTTGTTTATCAGATCTCCTGGAGAACAATCTTCAAATTCATTTTTATTCAGCACCTCCATAAGCTTATTGTTGTTGACATGCATTTAAACATCACTGAGGGATGACTTACAGGACATAAATAAATAAAACACTGTGCCTCTATCCTGTGAAATACCAGTAGAAAAGTGACTTACCACCAAAAAAAAAAAAAAATTCAACACCTGAATAATGACCACAGGCATGACTCAAAATTTATTTATTTAGGAATGGTTGTTCACAGTAAACTGAACCAAAGAGAGAAAAATTAAAATGAATAAAAAGAGATGTGAACTATTTGTGTTTAATCTCTAGTTCCATCAGAAATAGATTAACCAGCTAACTTTGGGTCCAAAATAATTCATTATACTTAGTCTCTGGTATAATTAAGAACACTATAGCCAACTCCCCAAATATTCATTAAGCAACCAGAAACAATTCAAAAGAGGAACAGAGATTGAATAGAAACAGTCATTGCTAAAAGAGAATCAGTACACATCTGAGATGGAATCATTTGAGCAATATGGAAATTCATCTTGTGTTAGATTTCATTATCATTAATTCCAGCACTGCAAGCTGGCAGTTATTTTAGGCTCATTACAAGCCTAAAACAGGTCAGAATTTTAATGTGAATCAAGTCTCACTAGAATAATAGGGATATGATTTAAGCTTTCGGGAAGTTTCAGACTAAAAAAAAAAAATCAAACTTCTCATGCTTTCATTTCTTGTGCTTGGTTGCATTTTAAAAGAGTCCTTGATTATATTTTTTTCAGTGCATTAATGCAAAACAAAAGCAAAACAAAACAAGACAGAGTGAGTATGAATACACTTTGAGAATTCTGCACCTTCAGCATTTGCAGTAAGCAGGGGTGTGATTCCGCTGGTTCGGACTGGTTTGGTTGAACCTCTAGCTCCAATGATCAGCTAGCTCAGAACTGGTTCACTCCAACAATCATGTGGGCTCACCCGCCTGCCCCTGTGCTATGCTCACCTATATTTGCTCAGCTGATTCACACAGCAGAGCAGATTGCCATGCCTCAGCTGTGTTACTTCCCCAAAGTAACATCTAAGATAAGTAATTCTGAATGCTGTGCATGCGTGCGCAGCACATGATTAGTGAACCAGTTGTTACATCAACAGCATCTCACCACTGGCAGTAAAGATGCACTTTTCTGGGACAGAAGCAGATTTTCATTTTTTGCTTATATAAAACTAAGCACATCACCTTTTATGATCTGATACTGCACATACTGTATATGGTCCTTGTTTGCTGAGCTGTAGTGGGATGTCTCCTTTACTTATGGCAGAAACAGACTGTGATGACCCAGAGCATGGCACAGGGCCAACCCAGTCAGCTGATAGTTCAAACCACCTCTTTATTGCTCTAATTTTCCCCCAATGCTTTCACATTTCTTTAAGTCTCAGAGAAAAGTGATCACACTCACTCACTCACTCACTCACTCACTCACTCACTCTCTCTCTCTCACACACACACACACACACCTCCAGCAGCCTACGGCTGCAAGTAGTTCAGCATAACACTGTGAGCACAATGGCTGCAAAACAAGAAATCCAACAGGGCAAGAGAATAAGTCAATGAGTCCAGGAAGCAAACAAACAAGGCAATTAATCCATGAAGCAAGAAAGAAAGCAAGAACTCCAAGAAACCTAAAACGTCAGCAATGGAACCAACACTCCATTAATTCATCATTTGTTCCTGACAAGCACCCTTCCTCACAGTGTCTCCTTAAGTCTCAGTCCCCAGGTGAGTCTTGTGAAGATGGGTAGGGCCGTCTCCTCCCAAGTTGTCCTGTCAGCCTGTGCTGTTCCTGCCTTCTCTCTACTCTCCATGCTTGAGAGTCAGGAGGGGGTGGCTCTTGCTCATCACCTGAATGCTGTCTCTCATGTTCACTGCTTAGCCTCTCTTGGTCCTCCTGCCCCATTCCTTCCTGTCTACAAGCCATCCCAATTCTGAAAGGCCCTGGCCTGCCTCAGCCTGCTCCTCTCCACATTCCTTCAAAGTCAACGAAGTCCCCCCTCGATCTTTGTTGGCTCTAGTTCTGGCTCATCTTCCTCCGGAGATTCAGGCTCTGATGGGGGCATGACATAGACTATATCTATTAAGGACTTCCTTTTTCTAACCTATCTGCAGCCTGTACCAGTGGCCCCCAACCTTTTTGGCACTAGGGAGTGGCTCTATGGAGACAGCTTTTTCCACAGACCAGAGGGGATGTGGATTTGCGTGCTGCATGCATCCCACATATGAGGCTTCGCTTGTTTGAGTGGCCCAGTTTCTAGCATGCCGTGGACTGGTGCTGGTCCAGGATTTGGGGACCCCTGGTCTATAGAACACACACAAACACACACACACACTTACATTTTATGTACAATTTTGAAGATGTCAAAAATCATTTTGTGCATTTCATGTTTTCTACATTTCAATATTTGAAAGCTGTGGGCAAGCATAATGCAATACATCATAAAATAAAACAGGATTTTATACTGGGCACATTCTGCTAATGTTAACAGCTGCCACATTTATCAGATTAGCCATTTGCTATCAAAAGTAAACTCCAACAGACAGAGTTGTTCCATTCACCACTCATTTCCTCCTTTGGGTGGCAAGCAATTTCCTGCTAATACAGAAAAACATGCTTTTCTCAAAAGAAAAGAAGAAGAAAAGGAAGGACACAGTTGTGCATAACAACTACATAATTGGTTTTGGTTTGCTAATTTTTTAAAAGAAAAAAAAAGTCATGTAGCAAGTACATAAGTGATTTCCTAATTATTTTAACCCTTTGATTACACCTCAGTTCATATTATTTTTCTGAAATTTGGGCCAGAATGTCTCCTTCTCCTCCATTTTCATTTTCATTTTCTTTTTCTTCTCTTCCATATGGAAGATAGATGTGGGCAATTTTTAGTTGTATATTTGCAAGCCTACATGCTGGATCAGTCCAACAAAGGTAGCCTACACCAGATATAACAAATATAAAAATTCAGTCATACAAGATTATAATCATATTTTATCATTTAAATAAGTTGAATAATACATTAAATTATATTCTGCACACAGTTTTTGAAATTACAAAATAAAATATTAGTAGTAGAGCAGCATAATCAATCAAATATATTCATGGAAAGTCATTTGAAAGAGATAAATTCCAAAGTAACCTTTGTGTTATGGTACTGATGAGTGGGGAGATCCTTAATCTTCCCATATAAATACCCACTGTTGGGTTTTATGAAATTGGAATAAAACATGCATGGTTGGAAAAACTTTGCTGTTGCTGTAAATTGAGCAAATGAAATTAAATTGGATTAAATTTTTGTAATGACTATACAGCAAGCTCTATATAGAATGAAACATTACAAACCATCCAATTTTTTCCTGCTTTAAAATTTTTTTTGTATCAATATTAGAGAAACACAATCAGGTAAAGTTAGAACAATTACAATATTTTTTTAGAAATGACAATATTTCAGGAACCTCTGAAATCTGTTTAACCATGCCAGCAAAAACAAAGGAACAAATTCAGGTCTTCAGTTTAGAACAGTGGAAAGCAATATGATGCCCAAAGACCCTGAGGGCACTGCCCTTGATGTCCATAAGATTCTGTGATCCATCCAATGTTGATTTTTTTTTGGTTCCTCTTTTAAAACAAAACAAAACAAAACCAATGCTTTTAGTAAATCACAAGCTTCTAGCATCACCAATATTTAAAAGCATATCAGTGAACCCATCTTGGGCTCCAGAGGTTTTCTTACCAAAAAAAAAAAAAAATGGCAGGTAGTGGCAGCTCAGTGATTTCTTTGGAAATGTGCTCACTTACCAGACAAGGTAAATTAGAGTTGTAAAGAACAGTCTAAGGGGATGGGGACAATTGGTCAAATTTATTTTCTGGCATTGGTGGGCAAAACCTAGCATGGAATATAATTTGTGAATGGTAAATCTCTTGTCATGCTACTTACTTTGTGTAACATGCTCTCAAAATATTGAAGTGTGTAGCCATCCCCAAAGATTGCTTCCCCTGCCTTATGTGTAAAAATTACAAGCATCAGAGCCAGTCAAATTTTAATGACAAGAGATTATTTCATGTGAGCTGACCACATTTTTTTTTTCTGAAGGAGAAATGAAAGGAAATTGTCTCTAGCTCTTATGCATTTCTAGCATACCAATACCATAGATATTAACACAAGAGGTTTCTTTTTTCTAAAAAAAAAGGGAATACATATAATGTAATGAATATTAAAGATTTTTTTACTATATTCAGGGTATACTCAAAGCTCTAATAAACTCTAATAATAATCTAATAAGGATTGTGCTGCATCTATTCTAGATGTAATATTCATTCTACAGGGAGAAAATTTCCTAGATTTATTTTATATTGATTTATCTTTATTTTAAATAATTAAGGAAAATCACTTGTATCGCTCATCGTCAAGAGAATGAAAAAGTCTCAAGCTGCCTTTTCCACAATAGTACTTTGTAAGTTTGGGAAGGCATCTGTTATGAAGAAGGAGTTCCCAAATAGAACTTACCCTGGGCTTCATTTCTGAAAGTAAGCAGTTTGGCAGTTGATGAGTGGTCAACTGTAACCCCAAAAGAACAAGGTGGATAATCAGATAAGGGAACAATCAGACAAAAATGACTATTGTATTCATGGATTCCTTAGCAGTTAATGACAGTTTCACATTCCATATGAAATGTGTGTACAGTAATTGACATTTGTGTCAAGTAGCTGTGCTGTGCAATGATTTCAGCAATGTTGCTTCTGTATAAAAATATGGGGTTCTCCTTATTAAGTATTATGTTCTGTACAAAAATTTAGACTAAATTTGAAAAAAACAAGTATAGAAATTGTTATCACTCAATTTAGGTATTCATAACACATGGATGAATGAAATAAGTTAGTTTAAATCTGGGCATTTGATCCAACCTGAGGTATATCTGTACTGCACTTCTAAGCTCTTCCTGTTATGTATTCATGTTGACTTGATTTTAAGCCAGTTTAAGAAAATTCTGCCTGGATTGAAACCTCTTGGCAACCGCTTACAAGACATTCAATTTGGACAGTTGGACAGTTCATCTGCTGCTGTGCCCTCCCACCCATATCTTTCAGAAAAGACATGGCCATCAAACACCAAATGCATCTGCCAAACTATCTGAACTCCTTTGCATGAATGAACTGAAGCCATATAGGAAAATACCATCTGAACTAGAATCACTGCTCAATACTGACCATACAGACAGCCAAGATATCAGAGTGGTCTTTGGACTGGACAAATGTGTTACTCCCACCAAAATAGGGAGTCTGAATATTGATGGTCACTACAAATACCTGAGCATCCTTCAAGCTGACAAGCTCAAGCACACTAGAGAAAGTCATACAAAATAAAGAAGCTAACATGCTCTGGAACTTCAGAATTCAAACAGACAAGTATCTGTCATATAACATATAAGTCATAACAATTATGAGTAGGAAAGGCAAAAAGTCTTGATAACGGACATTGCATTACCTGAACAGCATAACAGAAGAAAAAGAACTGGAGAGAATTGCAAAATAGAAAGACCTGCAAATAGAAGTAAAATGACAGGCAAAGAGAGTAATAGGCACTTTTGGGTGTTATCCCAAAAGATCTGAAGCTCCCCTTCAGCACCATCCGGGATGACAAAATCACTGTCAATTTCAGAAGACATCTTTACTTGAACCAACTTACATTCTGTGACAATATCTTTAACGTGATCAAGCAACAACATCCACCTATCCCAGGCTCATGGGAAGAACTCAATAGTTGGATAAAAATGTTACCATCTAAATATTGGCTGACTGTATGACTAACCATAATAATTAAATTTAATTGGGGACAGCTGTTTTAATATTTCTAGGTTTTGCTTTATTACCATGGCTTTTATTATATTGACTGACTGTTATCATCAATCAATCAATCAATCATCAGAATACTTTGTATGAAGGTAATGTATCCTTGACTCCTATTTGGCTCTTTTCATTCAAGATTCTGATCAACAAACTATTTCATTTCATCTTCCATATTATATTTTGCTTTTCTCATTGCCAATTCAAATTTAATGCCATTAAGTATGCTCAAACCCTACTGAACAATGTTCTGGTGTGTTTAGTATTTGTGCTTTAATCTTTTAGATACATAAGTTTCCAACCATTTATTCTCGTTACACTTGCAGGCTTTGAGGTTCACCAAGTATAATGATGCTTCCATCTTCATTCTCAGTGGCCCACTGTGAACCCATTTGGAGTAAACAGTGGGATGCTGGTACATTCCTAAGTGGATTTAAGAACATTCAAAATACTTAGCCAGTGAGTGCACAGACATACAGCAAATGACTGCAGAGATATGCAGTATAATTATGGAACATCCTGGGGTCAATTAGCGAGGCAGGGTCCTTTGTTCAACTTTGTAGCCATAAGAACAAATGTTCTGTTAAGGCAGGGATTACAAATATCATTAGTAAAATCATACAAAAGGAAGATTTTAGGGAGATAAAGGCCCTTCAAAGACCCCATTAGTATGCTCAAAATAAATGTTTAATAGGCATGATCCCTTTAATTGCATTTTCTTAATTAAGTTAATAGAGCTGAGAAGTGGGAAAGTGTACAAGGAAATCTTGAAGGAAATCTTGCTCCCCTACCACTATGTCTCCCACTGAGGTGATAAAAATCCACAGAACGGTAAATAAATAAACACTAACTATTTGTATTATAGTCTTGAACATCCCATGCTACTTCAGAAAATGATTAAAGGAATTCTCTTAGCAAGACTTACGGGTATACACAAAGCATCCCTCCTGTTGCAAGATTGTTTCTTGGGAAATAATTTACTTAAAGGTAGCCAAAAGGCCTGGTGACACATTAAAGGCTACCAGATTGATTACACATAGTGTAAATCAGTGTTTGATTTGTCAAATGTAGTAAAGGGGACAGATGTCACACATAGAGAGAGAAGATAAAAGGAAAGTCTGACAAAACCAGGCCAGAAAGTTAATCGGTGCCAAAAATAGTGATTGATTTGTTCCTCCATAGAATAAATTAATGCAAACTGTATCACACAAACACATTTCAATCATCTACCAGTTTCATGCATATCATTAAGTTGAAATTTGCTTCAAACTTTGTGTACGTGTGACTTCTGAATAAGCTACATTTTTGTGGGTTTCATAGAATACCTCAACCATAAAGCAGGATTTATCAACTTCGGGAGTTGGTTTTGCATAACATGTAAACCCCAAATCTAATGCCATGAGATGGTTGGGTGTCCTATGTGAACTCTTTCACTGAATACATCCAACTTATATCCACTAATTAAGTACACATATAAGCAAGGGTCAATCTGTACATTTGATTCCACCAGCAATTTTACTAATCTATAAATAGCAAGCTGTGTTTGTGCACATAAATATACAAAGAAATAAATATATTATTTCAATGTGCTTTCCACAGGATGTTTTTAGAATAACATTAGGTACATTTTAACTCATTTTATGGTTGTAGACAAAAAATTCTAGCATTGTTGTGGTTGTTTTCTGTTACTTCTAATGTTTGTTTATTACTCTGCAATTTTCTTAACCTGTTGATCTGAGTAGAAGAGTTTCTTCATGAGGTCTTCTGTTGGGTTGAATTGAATGATAGGAAGACAGGATGGCTATAGATTGCTGAGGAGAAGATTGGATAGTGGAAGAGAGGACTTTCTAGGTACTTTATGAGAATGTGTAGTCTGTCACTCAAAAACAAGAACCAAAAAATGATGCAACGCCTTTCTTCCATCCAATTGAATGAGAATGAAAAAAAGAAAAGAAAACATCAGAAGCAATTTTTGACAAGGGCTAAGAGAAATATATTCATAATATCTGAGCTGACAAAACTGAAAGGGGATTGATCCTGTTTATTATGGAAATCTTGACTAGTAGTTAAAAATAGATGGATTATCTGACTTTACCACAGTGTCTTAGAATGCTTTCCTGGGATTAACAGAGCCATTCAGTGCACATCTGAATTGTAGAGGTGTGCATCTATCAATACAATTTTCAGCCATTTTGACCATGAAAGTGTATAGGAGCATATGAAAGTGCAGCTGCCACAAAATTCTATCATTACCCACTGTGCTATTATATCAAAACAGATTGAGCAAACCACCAGGGAATAAATGAGAAAAATGTTGCTTCTTGCATCTCTGTATGGAATTAAAGTCTCTACAATGAAAATGAAGTGTCTAACAAGATTGCTTCCTAAGCATGCACTGTCCTTTCAAAACCTCCAAGAATGCTGCTTTTGATATTCTAATTCTGTGATAAATTATTCATTGGGGGACAGTTTAGCCATTAAACTAACATTGAGATGCACCGAAAGAAATGGTTTCTGTCTATGTGTGCCTTCAGCACCTCTTTCAATTCTTTATCATCCCATTTTTAAAGAGTATTTAAAACCAGGGTGCACAACCTTCAGCTCCCCTGAGACTGACTTTTGGAGCTGACTTCAGAACCCCTGAAATCATGACTATCAATTGTAATATTTTTAGTGTTGCAGAATTTGAAAGTGATTAAATATATGGGGAATAATCATATTAACTGTATCCTATTAATTTAAACAGGCTTAATTTAGGTCCTGACTCTGCCTATACCCACTTATTTTTCTGCCTATACCCACTTGTTGGAATGCAGCCTTTGATTTTCTGTTCATAACTTAAGTTTAGCTACCATGCCCCACATCATTACACATCTCTGAATAAAGAAATAGACTTATAAAGTTCTAATAAGGGAAAGTAAAGACTAGATTGCCATCTCTTTATGTTGTGATTGGAAGGATCGGTCCTCTTGGGAGATTTGACTCTGATGACTGTTAGATCATGGATTGACGTCAGAACCAGGAAACGTTAATCTGAAGGGCAAGCCAGTTAATTAGCACGTTGCCTTAATGGGTATAAAAGGACACAGCTGAGCTGGTGCCTTTCGCCAGAAACAAAATGACTATTTTGAATGAGGAAGTTACTGCAAAGAGCTCTCTGTTTGTTTGAATTTTGAAGGGGAGTCCTAACAGTTTCTGCCAGCTGTTATCTTGTTATTTCCTTCAGTTTGATTTGATTGTGAAACGGCTGCTTTGTGTTTGTTTGTTTGAATTTCCAAGAGGAGACATAACATTATTGTTTCTGGCCAAAACAAACCATCTTTAAAGCAAGATGGATTCAAATCAACTGCAGCGTTTGGTAGAGCAGCAACAACAACAAATTAATCAGCTACTGCAAAGCAATGTGACGCTTCAGAATCAGGTAACACAATTGCTGAATTATGTTTCCAGCTTACCAAGCCCTGCTGCTGTTCCCCCTGCCCCTCCTGAGAGGAAAAGCCCAGTATCCATGCCGGAGAAATTTTCAGGACAAATGGACATGTTTCCGGCATTTCTGGGGCAGTGTCAATTATTTATGTCCTTGAGGCCTGAAAACTTTCCAACTGACCGGTCTAAAGTAGGATTTATGATCAGTTTATTAACCGGGCAGGCTGCTAATTGGGCTACTCCCTTGTTAGTTCAAGATAGCCCGTTGTTGAATGATTTCCAGGGTTTTCTTCAACAAATGAGAGTGATGTTTGAGAACCCAATTAAGATACAAACTGTGGAAAGACGGTTATGGGACATAAATCAGGGGAAACGTTCCCTGCAGGAATACGTTGCAGAATTTCGTTTCCTGTGTTTGGACTCCAACTGGAATGAACCGGCTCATATGGCTGCATTCCAGGAAGGCTTGTCTGATGTCATCAAAGATGAGCTGGTCCATGCAGAGAGGGCTTTAACTTTGGATGCATTGATAGTTCAGTGCTTACGAATTGAAGCTCGTTTACAGCAACGTGGACGCAAACGGCTCGGTATGGAACCATCTTCGTTTTCTTGTGCACAACCCACGGTTAATGTTGAGGAGCCGATGGAGTTAGGCGCACTCCGCCCTCGCTTAACGGTGCGAGAACGTTCAAGAAGGTTCCAGGAAGGCTTGTGCCTTTATTGCGGGGGTCTGGGACATTTTGTTAATTCCTGCAAACGGAGAGGGACCCGCAGATCCGTACCTGAAACCACTCTTGGCTCGTCAGGAAAACAGGGTAGACCTGATCTCAAGGAAACCCTAGGTCAGACACATTTCACACCCCCACCTCAAATTGCTGAAGTAAATCCTGGCCCTCCTCGGCATTTACTTTTGGACACTCGAATTTTTCTACAGTCACAGAAGGAGGGAATTCCTGCTGTTGCATTGGTGGACTCAGGGGCTACAACCAGCTTTATGAACCGAGCTTTTGCTACGCACTATGGGATCCCATTGGTTGCTGTACATCCACCCATTAAGGTGGAAACCGTGGATGGGCGTGAGCTCAAGTCTGGGCCCATTCGTTTCGCCACCCAGCCAGTGCGTATGATCATTGGGGATCATGAGGAGGCGATAAGTTTTTATATCACCTCGAACCTTCATCTCCCTTTGGTGCTTGGAATGTCCTGGTTGCGTTTGCACAATCCATTGGTGACTTGATCGCAGAACGGTATTTCTTTTCCAAGTCTCCAATGTGTAGACCACCTGAGACAATTGGAACGAGCGACGCCTCCATTGGCTGTGGGAGACAGAGTGGGGTTGTCAACGAAACATCGTCAAGTTAATCATCAGACTCGGGGGAAGGGCCCTGCGGTGGGGGATAGTGTTGTGATTGGAAGGATCGGTCCTGTTGGGAGATTTGACTCTGATGACTGTTAGATCGTGGATTGACGTCAGAACCAGGAAACGTTAATCTGAAGGGCAAGCCAGTTAATTAGCACGTTGCCTTAATGGGTATAAAAGGACACAGCTGAGCTGGTGCCTTTCGCCAGAAACAAAATGACTATTTTGAATGAGGACGTTACTGCAAAGAGCTCTCTGTTTGTTTGAATTTTGAAGGGGAGTCCTAACAGTTTCTGCCAGCTGTTATCTTGTTATTTCCTTCAGTTTGATTTGATTGTGAAATGGCTGCTTTGTGTTTGTTTGTTTGAATTTCCAAGAGGAGACATAACATCTTTATATACAACTTCATACATAACATTTGCAAGTTCACAAAAATATAGGAATAATACACAATGCCACTAAGATACTGTTCATTTTTTTTCAGTAGTTAGTCACATTTGTTTGGTGAATCCATATATGAATCCATATATGAATGACAACTATGCAGTGAAGAAAGTGGCATTGTTTATTGGTGTCAATTGTGACCTTCAGGTACAAATGACAAGCAAGATTGTAGTCCTGCACAACGGTGTGGTGCTATTTTTCCTGTCATTCGTTCATTCTTATATTCATGCTCGTCATCAGTATTAAAGACATAACAAAATGAAGGAAATGAAATAATTCCTGTTTTAGAAACTCAACTGCTGGTAAACTAGGCATCTGTGAGTTTCCTGCGAGAAATATTGCTAGTCTTTAAAAGATCATGGAAAGTATGACCATCTAATTTGAAATGTACCCAACAGAAGAAACTGTACATCTTGTGACCAAAAGTATTTGGGAAATGCTGTGGCTATTTTATATTGTATATTGCTCTCAAGTTTGCAAAGTTCTTAACTTATTGTAAATGTCTACTGCAATAACCAGGCAACACATGCTGATCCTGCCTTTTTTTCTGGAATGTTAAAGTGGGAAGTGATCAATGGCATCATTGATCTAGCTCCATCTTGATTTGTTCTAATTCATGTTCAATTTTCTACTTCCCTGATACCTTCTCCTTTCAGACATTGGCAGGAAGATTTGAAATAGAAAGCTTATTCCATCAACTCTGACTTTGTACATTATTTAGAAATAGTGCTGGGCTCTGTTAACAATGCTTTTTTCTAATTTTCATCTGTGCAAATATAAATCTTGATAGAAATATTGAATATTGTTAGCTAAATTGAGTTTTTTTCTTCAGATCTTGCCTGTTTTTTGCACAGATAAATATGTACACACACTTCCAATGTTTTTTTTAATACTTTCTTTTGTCAATGGTTATTCTTTTCAATTCAGTTTTTTCTTCTTGTTGTTGTTTTTCTTTTTTAATTGCTCCTATTATTTTATACACATGTACACACACTTGCAGTAATATATTCAGTGAAAAAAAAATTGTCCTGATTTGATTTTGGCCTTTGTTCATCAAAGAACAAGGTCAAACTGAATCAAAGCATTATGAATATGTCCATCAGCTTGCCATTTGTTGTTTTTTTCTTGATTGAAATGCATCATTATTTTAAATGCTGATCATATAGAGTTTTAAATCACAGATGAAGGCAAGGTTATAAATCAGTCTCAGATTTCCCATTCTAATATGACATATTCAAGGGAGAAGTACAAGGGCTTAAATTATCAAGTTAATTTAAGTTAGAAGAAAACATATGTCTGAAGGGATGAAATGGGAGAAGGACAGGGCTGTGCACACAACCTTGCCATCTTTACACAAGCAGCCTCCTGGTATGTAAAAGAAGTGCATGCCATATGTTTGCTTGGCTTAAATGTAAGTACAGCTCTCTTCATAGTTCAGGGAACAAATAGAAAAGATTCCCAGCTTGAATGCCAATCAGGCTTGAATTAATGAAAAGTCAAGCATAAATGCACCTTCATCCCCCACATCTGAATAGGAGGAAACAGGAGAGAGATCAAGGCAGAGTTGTAGGCTTGCTTACATAGTTGCCCCATTTGAACAATTCAGTGCCTGAATAAGACTACTATGAGGAGATGTGAAACAGTTTTCCTATAATATGTTGATAAACATATATCTAGCATTTAGTAGCATACAGAAGTATACTATTAAATGCCACATAGAGAACATGACCCAAGAGGGCTACATTTTTAATTGGTTTCAAAACTTTACCAAATACCATTCACAGATACAATTGTCTTGAATATAATCATTCAAGAAAGGAATAGCATTTGTAATATATAGAATTTACTCTTGAGACATAATTACATTCCTTCATAATATTTATTGCAAACATGTATTACTTTTTGTAAACTAAACTAGATTTTTTTTGTTCAAATGTGTTTCTAACAACATTATATTTACTTACTAATTCTGTTATATATTCACATATAGTAAAATAATGTTTAGGATTATCCAACAGATTAGATCAGGGGTCCCCAAACTTGGCAACTTTAAGACTTATGGACTTCAACTCCCAGAATTCCTCAACCAGCTATGCTGGCTGGAGAATTCTGGGAGTTGAAGTCCACAAGTCTTAAAGTTGCCAAGTTGCCAAGTCTTGAAGTTTGC